TTCACTAATCTGACCTTGCTTAAAACCTTACTATGTATTCTGACGACACTTTCAACTACTTCCGAGATTTCACGGAGTACCCTTCAGCTTCAACGCAACTCCAATCCGCACCCAACCTTTTACTATGCTACTTCTGTACCGATCAACCCGCACCGGTACCCTTGTACTATGCTACTTCTGCACCTACCCAACCGCTCCAGCCAGTACCGCAGCCTTCTCCATATATTCCGCACCTACTCGACCGCTCCAACCCGTACACCCTTCGCTCCAATCTACGCACATTCTCTCAGGTTCGACGAAGTTCTTTAGAGAGGAGCAAATCGCATCCGAATCCAAGAGGAGTTTTGCATAAAGATATCCAAATTCGTAACGAACTAGACCATCTGAGTTGTTTAGTTATTATTTTTAAGATATTCCTTATTGAAAAAATTAGGCTTCTTTAGATTTTAGTGGGACTTTTTGTTGAAATTTTCTATCATCTTGCATGGTAATAAAACTTTTGAAACCGAAGACCATGAAAATTTTACGTTAAGAACTACTTTTCTTGAAATTACATTTTCTCAAAATTGTCATCATTGCCATCACTCCCATAAGTAAGATGAGGTTAGTTACGATCAAGGGGAGGCGCGTAATTAAGATGAGGTTAGTCATTAATGAAGTCACTTCGCACTTCGACGCGGAGTAATGTCAGTCGAGCTTAACGTCCCACACCCTCTGATTTGGGGGTCAGTAACTGTGAAGCGATGGGCTGTGACGAGTTCTTTTTCATCCCTTGCTCCCATTGTGAGAAGTTTTTTGTTACAAGCATTTCGTGATAGAGTATCACATTTGGTCATTCAAGTGGCAAAAGTTATTCTACTGTGATCCCAGAGTGAATGGGCATGCGAGCAAAACTGAAGTATTACTTTATGTGAATAAATATCAGCAAAAGCATTAAAAGGTCATAAAACGTGATAAAACCACGATGAGAGCATTTTCTAGTCCTTAAGGGAAAAATTCTATACAATGCAAAAATTCCGTCCTTCACAAAACCCGAACTCTAGTCTCTAGCACATGAAGCGCCACGCTTACCACCATACCAAGCCGCGGTTGAGAAGGAGGGTGTAATTTAAGTTTTCTTATGTTAAGCCCCTGAAATCACCTTCATAACTCCGTTAACAGAAACGCTCGGCAAATTTGGAAAGCAGATTTGAACTCAGCATCCAAAAACACTTCCAGCAGTGTAGGTCTCATTTCAAATGGCCACTTCGACTTGGGATCCTTCCCTTGTTAGGCCAATCCTTCCGTGAGTGTTGTCGAATTCGGCCAGCATTGTTCCGCCTGCTCGGTGTTCGGTGTTGTATGCAAGGTGTCGTCTACAAGCGGAGATGTTGCAAATGGCTGCTTTCATAGTCCGCCGGCGTGCCGGCCGAGGTAGTGCTAGGAAAGGGGAGGGAGGCAGACGGTGGCGTCGGCCCAAGCCCCTCTACCTCGGCCGGCCGGCGTACAATGAAAGCAGCCAATGGCAGCCGCCGACATTCGGTCCAAGTCTTCCAATTCCGAATGATGCATATATTCTCGAGAGCGTCACTGAGAAGTTTGGGTGAGTGTTCTCACACTGGCGATCCCCTCTCTCCACGTTGGTCATGACTTCTACTCAGTCAGACAACCTTTTGGAGTTTCCCGTCAGCTTGTTAATGTACATGTCTTTGGTTTTGATGGCTCAAAAAGGGCTCACTTGTGAAATTCTCCCCGCCACTTGAGGTTATAGAGATAGAAGCGGCTCTGAGCCTATCCAAAACTTTTTTTGCCTTGAGTAAGCTGGTTCTGTTCACACTACTCCGCGGGAAACTCGGGAAAACAAAGTCGGGAATTATTTGTCATGAGCTCGCCCTTTACCTCTTTTAGAGCAGATTGATTGATTTCGATGTTATGCTGTTTCATTCAAATCGAGGGCAGTTCTAACGTTCAAAACGGTAGAAGAGGAAGTGTAGAAATGCCTTCAATGATGAACGAAAGGAATACTATGCCTCATATTGCTCGGGCGAAAACGTCTCACAGGACTACTCTGGTCTGGGGTTTGACGAATGAAGACTGGCGCCAGCTCTAGGAAATCGACGAACAACGGTACGACAGGTGATCACGNCCATACAAGTGCACGTTCACCTTCGGAAAAAAAGTTCTGAATTTTCCTCTAGCAGTAACTACACCTTACCTCCAAAAGCCTCAGTCTCCGGCGAAAATTCACCATTAGGAGTAGTTTACATTTTCCCAGCTTCATTCATCATTTTGGTAATAATAATGACTATAATAATGGTGAATATTACTATTGTCATTATTCTTATTATTATTCAATCAAGCCCCATCCATCTAGTTCAACAACCCTTTAGGGGCCCAAGATTCAGTTTGTAAAAAGTGGCAAGCGCCACAGGGGACGCTGTTTGGTAGAAAAACGGTCTGGTTAGGGCGTTGAAAAGGCCGCGTTCGGCTTAGCCAATGTCTCCCGTGAGAGGACGAGTTGTTACGGCGCGTGTAGGGATTGCCCTCTTCGCACCAGGATCCATACGTTGTTCGCACGCAGTTTTACTGCGAGGAGCTGTATGTATGGCACACGCATTTGATTAGCTCGTCCGAATACTCGTCAAACGTACATGTGCAAGTTTTTTGGCCTTCGACACAGGACTAACAGGACAGTGTAAATGGTATTCTGTGGAAGTCGGTGCATACGCCTTTGAATGGAAGTGTCGATCTTCTGCTTTTTTTCTAAAAATAATACCCATCAGAAATTCAACTGTTCGACAACCAATGCCTTGGGTGGTACTTATAAATATTTCGAGTGATGAAAAGACTTTATCAGATGTCGTCTTTGATGAACCCTTTTCTTTACAGAGATATCGTTAGTTGAGAATTTAAAACTACTGGCGGTAGCTTAAGTTTTGCTGCAAATGATTTCGAACGAAGGGATCCTGCATAAGGTCACAAACCTCGCTGAGTAGTGGTCGTTATCTGATAGCAAAAATGAACCAAATTCTCATCCGCTTATCGTATTGCCGCTAATGGGTCCCGATCCCTACTCTAGTCCCGTCTTATTGAATGAAACATACTGAACAGTCAAAGCCGCATCGTAAATAACGAATGCGCTGGAATTTTGATCGGTAGGTAGCCTCTCTTAGATCCTTTTTCTTCTCTTATCAGTCATAAACAGCTCCTGTCAACGAGTTCCTGCGATCCCATTATATCCTACATCACTCATCAAAATGCCGTAGTTCCACTGTTAATACGAAAAGTGTAATCCTACCAAATTTAGCGCCCTAGGTCCACGTGAACAGGAGTCACGAATTTGCGGCCCAAAACTTCTATCGCGCACGCCTCGCCCCCTGTGAGCAGAGTCCATTCCCGCCACTCACCATAAGTGTTCCCATCTAGCCTCCCGTATTCCTACCGAGCACGTTACATACAAAATTGTTTTTGTGTGAAAATGGAGTTTTAGATTCGAAATAGATACCTCGTGGACATGGTATCAGGTATCGATTGGAAAAACGAAGAGCTATTGGACAGTCACGCTGAAAGGTGGTCAACACTGTTCACATGTTGGAAAGCAATTCCACGAAGTATCCGCGGATCCTCGATAGCGGTACTCCTCAATAACGACTTAGAAAAGATTAAGAGGTGGATTTTCTTCTACTCTTAGAATAATATATGACATGTATGCCAACTGGAAACGAGAAAGTTTCAGGTTCGCCCGTCACCTAATCAAGGGAAAGGTTCAACTGAATGGTGCTATAGTGAACGATGCAATAGTATTTTATTTAAAATATCTAACCGCTGCGGATGAAAGGCATTCATTGGAAAGCATCATTGACTGGAAGACGCTTCGTAATTTGCAAAAAACGGAGGCTTCTTTAGAAGTCGTGTTACAGCTACTCTCGATCGAGAAGGTTTGTCTATTGCGAGAACAAGCTAAAAAAAGCAGTGAAGCCAATTGTACAGCATGCAGACCCTATCAAACATTATCTGTTGATGATCTAATTCTTAATTTATTCGCAACATCCCGAGGTCTCCGAAGTGTTAGTCTCGGCGCTGCCTACAGCGTGGTATCCTATATGCTAAACTCACGGGATATACGTAATCTTATGAGCCAAATCTCGTTTTACTGTGAATCCGTAGACATTCTTTTACAGGCATCCCAAAACTATGGGAGCCAATTCACAGCAATGTATTTAAAACTCCTCATTTGAAAAAGACAATGGATTTTCTATGAACGCTAACTAACACTATGTGCTACAACGCGCTAAAATCACTTTGAAAATATCCACCACGGGCGCGGAAAAGACCTAAAGTTTGCTCTCGAATTGATCGCAGTTGCACGCAGGTAGCATTCTCCATTTCTCCCGATCGTTATTCAGTCTTGCTCTCTAAGGTTCCGAAGTGGGACTGCTAACTCTTCCAATCAGGGGCCATACGGAGGAGTCACGTGAGTCAAGATCTGGAAAATAGCATGACCATTCCTCTTTGCCACTGGAAAGGGGCAGCTGTCGTTGGCACCACTTGCGGCCGAGCTCGGTTCTATGGGCTGGATTAACGTCCTGAAGGAAAGACTACGGGCTGTTTCAGGGAGCGTAGTCGGGTCGGTGCTTCATTACGTCCATCAGTATGCTTTTTAGTATTGGTCTTGGTCATTTTTCACGCCTGCAACGACAAAACCACGAGCGTCTTACCCTTGCCAGTGACTCCCTCAAAAACATCATTTTACTGTCTTATGGCATCCTTTTTGTAAGGGATTGCACGTTAGATGTTTCTATCTGGAGCGCGAACGTTTCGGTTGTTGAAGAATGGTTTTCTCGTGAAAATTTTCTGGCCAGAGAAAGCAATGAAGGGTTGCGAGTCTTTACTCATGTCAGCTTGCAACATTCTGCCCTGCAGTGTCTATTGAGAGCGGAATTGAAGCGACAATTCTGCCTACGACAGGAAGGGCAATAAAGCTTTTGTTCGAGCTTATCCCCCTCAACGGCAACTTCGATAAGTCCTGCTCTTTTGCCGTTTCTTGATGAGTCCCTCTGGATCACAGTCGACCCGCTGGATGAATCTTCTCTATATCGTTTAATAGCTTTCTCTACGGATATTCGAGGATCACAAGGAATTTCATGATGCCCATCCGCCCCTCGCATGTCAGTGATTGCAAATGGCATTGAGTGAGCCTCGGCCACCTAAGGGGTATTGACAGTTTCACATCAGTTGCCATGCATACTGCGAGAAAACCTTATGCAACTAATAGCGGGTAAAGTAAATTTGATTAATCATTCCTTCTTTAGAGGTTTCTGAATTTTGGCGCTCATAATTTTGGGACATTCTGTATGTACGCATACTTTGGTGGATTGCAGGTACTTTTTCAAAATTCAAGACTTTCCAAATGCTAGTCGGCAAGGCGCTTGTATCTCAAAATAGCAAGCTATAATAGCTCAATAGTCGCCAGGGTGTCATGTTTCCACTGGTCCAAGTGTCAAGGTTCAAGGAAAAGCGTTATGCCTGAGTGACTCTAACTTCCTGCCGCAAGTACCACGATTCCTTACATCCCACGCGACGCGTCGAAGTGCGAGGGCTTCACTGTTAATATTAAGGGTGTTAGAGTTCTTTTGCCATCTCTATCAGACCTTATTAATTATTATCAATCACTGCAACCAAGTCTTACCTTCAAGTGCTCCTCGTCAGTCTCTATCAGTTGTTGGTTGACATGTATGAACAACCTGTTACGATCCCCCACATCACCTATAATGAAGTGCCAGGATTCCACTGTTAGAAGGGCATGGCGGATCCTGCTACTCCTGCCTTCAAAGGCTCCTTATCATTCACTATCAACTTTTATCGTCTGTGACGTACGTTATCGTCTGTGACCTGCCACAAATGCTCTCATTCTGTCGCTTGTATTCCTTCCAAATTTTTCTAACTTCAACGCGCTAGGTCAAGGTAAAAGGGGTAATGGGGTTAAAACGGGCACACACAACGCCCACCCACCCAAACACCCGCCCACCCAAACACACACACGTCCATCTGCAAAGCTAGAAGACGAAAAGTTAGTTTGGTGGGATGGTAGTGATAGCACTTATGCTGGTCTAGCGTAGCATATGTAGGTGTCTACTTTGTTTCGAGCTCTGACTCTAGCCCTCTTCTGAATCGTCGAGGGCTAGAGCGCAGAGAAAGGGAGGGGGTAGCCAAATTTGCTTGTGCCTAGAGACGGTTCTTGGTTAGCTAAAAGAATATTGTTACCTAACCTTGAGTGGTGAGTGAGATTTTACCTCGTGCAAAAAGCTGGGATGGGGTAAGAAATGAACATCCACTTGACTCACCACCCCGGAGCTCCTTCCCTCCTCAGGGTCAGGTGAAAAAAATACAGTTCTCGGCTGTGAAACGTTCCTAAAAACCATTACGAGGAGTCTTCATAAGTACCATTGTGGGCTCGCGAAGTCGGCTACCCCTCCTCCTCTGCGCTTTAGCCTTCGATGATTCAACTCTCACCCAATTCATTTTCACATTCGCTTTTTCATCTCCAACTTTGCACTTTTCTGCATCATCTATTCCATCTCTCCACTCGAACTAAATAATATGAAACAATGGTGAGCTGTACCTTTGAAAAGGTAAGAACGAGTTTTCTGGCTTAAACTAGCCTGTTTTTGAAACGCGCCTGCTCTACGGATTCCGTTCGAGATCGTCGTGGCGTTTTGAATGCGTATATGCCCCATAGAGCACACTCATAGTGCTTGCGTTCTTACACAGAATGATGCGTTTTTAAGTGTGTGCATGTGTAAAAGCGCAGATATCTGCGTGAAAACGCGTAAGTTTGCTTAGCCCATTGACGACCGCGTGGCCCGTGTGCGGGCCACGCCCTGTCGTGCTCCTGAAACCGCGTGGCCCGTAACGGCCCACAGTGTTATTCTCCATGTATAACATTCATTTTCGATTTTTT